GTTGTTGTCGTTGTGGTAGTGATGGTGGTGGTGGTGGTAGCTGTAGTAGTAGTAGTTGTTGTTGTTGACGGTTTCTTTTGGGAGGTGAGGGGGTCGATTTTCTTTGTTTGGCTGTATGTTTGTTTGTCTGTCTGTCCCCATTCACCCTTTTCTGTCTCTATAATATGTCTTTTCCGGTAGACTATTCTTCTGAACTTGCCTATCTCTGGATTCCTTTTCTCTTTTTCTTCTATCCGTGTCTTTTTTAAATATCAATTCTTCGTCACATCTTCGTGAATCAAAATCTATCTCTTCCACTTTCTTCCAAACTACCTTCCTCCCCTCTCTTCCCCTGCTCCTCACGATCCCCACCAAACCGCTTCGAACGCCTGCGCAGTTTATTAACTTTGCATGTTGTCATTACGTGGTGCATACTTTTTTCTCGTCTTGTTGCCTCCTTTCAGTGTAAAAAAAATAAAAATAAAAATAAAAAAATAATAATAATTAAACGCCAATTATTTCTCTGTGTCTTTCATTCCTTTTTCTTTTCCTCTGCATGCCTTCAGCAACTGACAATAGCACACGGGGAACATGAAAAAGTACCCCTGGTCTCTTAAATTCTTTATTTTAAAGACATTTTATAGTTTTCTATAGTCCTTTCCATTGATTATTTCTGTTGCAAACAGGAATTTATTTGTTATTAAGGATATTTTTACACTTTCATCAACACACGTATTGATGTCATTTAGGAAATAGGTTTCGACCTTAGTTAGACGGATACAACATTCTGACAGAAAGACACGATACACTTGTTAATAGGCCTAAAATTTTACAAAATCCTCCCTACATGGGAATCGAACTTGGGTCTTCTGCATACGACGTCGAAGTGCCTTATTTATAACTGTTACACCACAAACATGGAGGTTAGCTGCTAAGCAGTCGCGAACCAAATGGGGATGGTCGTGGAGAGTAGAGGGGAACCCTGGTGGCACAGGTGCTTCAATAAATACCTCACACACTCGAAGAAGGGACCATCTTGGCGACGGGAGGCGCCATAAATCCTACCAAAGCCCACACTGCCTTGTGGGTTGTCAGTGGATGACAAAGGCTAGCAGAGAAACTGTACACAAACCGGCAGTAGGCAACGGGAAACCACTGCCGTAATATCCCAAGAACAGTCATGGAAAAGTACATTCATTTATCAGATAACAGCGTTAAGGGGGTTCATGATCCTGCTCTGAACTCCCCGCTGGGTAGGGACCGCCACAGACAGCAGGTGGCGCCCGATCGTCATCCAGCTACTGGCTGCAAAAATAAGCAACTTAACATCGCCACATGGAATGTAAGAACAATGTACCAGAAAGGCAAATTAGATCATATAGAACAGGAAATGGATAGGATGAAGCTAAATATGTTAGGCCTTTCAGAAGTTAGATGGGAGGGGCAGGCTTGATTAAAAGAGGATCCAAAACAATTATATATTCAGGAGAAAAAACCCATGAAAGAGGAGTCGGAATTTTATTTGACGAAGCAACAGCAAGGAGCATCAAAGGTTTTTGGGGAGTGTCAGATAGAGTCATCGTGGCTAAATTAGGGGGAAAACTTTTTGACATAGGTGTCATCCAAATATACACACCAACATCAAAGCACGACAACGAGGAAATTGAGACTTTTTATGAAGACCTTGATAAGGCAATGAAACAGTTAAAATCACAAGATGTAAAGATAGTCATGGGAGACTTTAATGCTAAAGTAGGAAGTACACGTATAGAAGATATAGTTGGACCATGGGGACTGGGTAGAGAGAATGAACGGGGGGAACGACTGGTAGAATGGTGCAGAGAAAATAATTATATGATATCAAACACCTGGTATGAAAATCACCCAAGAAGAAGATACACTTGGAAGAGTCCTGGCGATAGAAGTAGAAATCAATTAGACTTCATACTTTTTCAGAAACGTTTTAGAAACACAATAAAATCGTCTAAATCAATGCCGGGAGCAAACTGTGATAGTGATCATGCACCAGTCATGTGTAAAATCCGGATACGACTAAAGAAACTAAAAAAGTCAAAGTATGAACATAAATTTGACATAGGTCTTTTAAAGACAAATCAAGAAATGAAAGAACGCTTCTCCATAGATGTAAGAAATAAATTCCAAGCTTTGGAAAACATTACTAAATCGGAAGAACTATGGAGGAAAATGAAAGACTCAATAATAGAAGCTGTGGAAGAAAATATCCCCCCGAAAGCTAAAAAAGCAAATAAAAAATGGATGACCCAGGACATATTAAACCTAATGGAAGAGAGAAGAAAGGCAAAATCAAATGTGGAAAAGTACAACATCTTAAACAGGAAAATAAAGAAAAAATGCAAAGAAGCAAAAGAAACATGGATAAACGATCAATGTCAACAAAGAGAGAAGAACCAAAACAAAGACAGCAAATACATGCATTCAAAAATCAAAGAAGTAAGTGGGATAAAAGGATGCTCAAATACAGGATGCAAAAGATCAAAGTGAGTGGATA